CTCCTAACAGGTAGCCTGGTCACAGGGGCGTCTCACATCGACCTGCACCAGGGCCCCTTGCAAGAGGCCCCAGAACCAACAAACCCAGTGGCGGGCTTCAGAGCACCACCCAATTAGCCCCACAAGTAGTACTGTACACCCGAAGCACCTCGGCGGGAACCAGACCCGGCTGGGGCGAGTCCCGCGGCAAGGGACAGATCCCACACAGCAGCTCATACACTAATTGAGAGTGATCCACACAGTCAGCTGGCCTGAGGGCCCAGCCCACCCACGGAGAGACCAACAGCAGTGAAGCCTCGACTACAACAGGAGGACTCACATAACCCACACAGAGGACGTTCCGGAAGCACCTCGCTCAAAAGATCAGGGAGGCTGTGCCACTGAGTCGTGCAGAATACTATACAAGGTCACCCTACCAAGACTGGGTGACATAGAATATCTACCTAATACACGGGAAAAATACAGACAGACAGCCAACATGGACAAAGAAACATGCACCAAATGAAAGAACAGGAAAAAAAAAACAGAGAAAGAGCTAAATCAAGTGGAGGCTAGCAATCAACCAGATACAGAGCTCAAAACAATGGTTATAAGAATGCTCAAGAAACTTAGTGAGAACTTCAACAAAGAGATAACAAGCATAAAAAAGACATAAAACCATAAAAAGAACCAGTCAGAAATAAGAATACAGTATCTGAAATGAAGAATACATTAGAAGGAATCAACAGCAGGTTAGATGAAGCAAAAGATCGAATTAGCAATTTGGTAGGTGAAGTAGAAGTCTACTAAAAGTGTTTTTGCTCAATCAGAGAAGCAAAAAAAAAAAGAATTTAAGAAACTGAGGATAGTTTAAGGGACCTCTGGGACAACATCAAGCATAACAACAATTGTGTCATAGGGGTACCAGAGAGAGAGGAGAGAGAGCAAGGGATTTAGAAACTATTTAAAGAAATAATGACAAAAAACTTCCTTAACTTGGTGGAGAAAAAAGACACACAAGTCCAGAAAGCAGAGTCCCAAACAAGATAAACCCAAAGAGGCCCACTCCAAAACACACATCATAAAATGGCAAGTGTTAAAAATGAGAGAATCTTAAAAGCAGCAAGCCAAAGACAGTTACTTACAATGGCGCTCCATAAGACTGTCAGCTGATTTCTCAACAGAAACATTTTAGCCCAGAAGAAACTGGCACAAAATATTCAGTGATTAAAAAAAAAAAAAAAAGACCTACAACCAAGACTTCTCTACACAGCAGGGCTACTGTTTAAAATTGCAGGCGAAATAAAGAGCTTCTCAGACAAAAAAAAAAAAAAAAGCTAAAGGAGTTTATTATAATCAAACCAGTACTATAAGAAATGTTAAGGGGACTTCTTTAAGGAGAAAGTAAAACACGAGGAACAAAATTATAAAGAGTAAAAAGACAATAAACAGTACATACCCATCAATAACACTGTAAGTGTCAATGAATTGGCTGAGCGGGTAAGAAGACGGGACACAGATGAGAACATCAGCTGTCCACAAGAGACCCACTTCAGGGTGAGAGGCTCACAGAGACTGAAAACAAAAGAATGAAAACAGGTATTTCATGCACATGGAAACGAACAAACAGACAAGCTGGGGTGGCAATCCTCACATCAGATGGGACAGATTCACAGCAGGCATTCTCAGGGGGTTTTAACACCCTGCTGACATCACAGGTGCACGCTCCACACAGGAAACCAACACTGAAACCATGGTCTCAAATGACACACTAGGCCAGATGGACTTAATTGACATTTTCAGAGCATTTCACCCCAAACCAGCAGAATACGCATTCTTTTCAAGGGCACAGGGAACATTTTCCAGGATACACCACATGCCAGGACACAAAACAAGTCTCAATACATTTAAGAATACTGAAACCATATCCAGCATGTGGTTTCTCCAACCAAACCTTCTCCAACCAAAATGGTATGAAAGTAGAAATCAATTGCAAGAAAAAAAGGGAAATATACAAATCCAAGGAGGCTTAATAACATGTTACTAAACAATGACTAGGTTAAGAAATCAAGGAAGAAATCAAAAGATACCTCGAGACAAGTGAAGCCAAAAATATAACCCAAGTCTACGGGACACAGTGAAAGCATCCTGGGAGGGACGTCCACCGCACTGCGGCCTCCCTCCAGAAACAGGAAAATCTCAAATAAGCACTCTAGTCTTACACCTGGAGGAACCAGAAAAAGGCAACAACAACAACAAAGCCCAAAGTTAGAAGAAAAAAAATAAAGAACAAAGCATAAATAAACACAATAGAATCTAAAACACCAATACAAAAGATCGATGAAACCAAAGGCTGCTTCTTTGAAAAGATAAGCAAGACTGATAAACCTTTAACCAGATTCAAGGAAAAAAAAAGAGAGAAGACTCAAGTATTCAATAAATAAAATGAGAAATGAAAGAGGAGAAGTGACAACTGACACCACAGAAATACAAAAGGATTATAAGAAAACATGAACAACTACATGCCAACAAATGGAAAATCTGGGCAAAACAGATACATTTCTAGAAATATATAATCTTCCAAAATGCAATGAAAAAGAAACAGAAAATCTGAACAGAGCACCCACAACCAATGAAATCAAAGCAGTAATCAAAACGCTCCATGAGCCCTGGCCGGGGGGCTCAGTTCACTGGAGCATTGTCCTGTACACCAAAAGGTTTGGGTTCGATCTCCAGCACGGACATATATGGGAGGCAACCCATAAATGTTTCTCATTTCTCTCACTCTACCCCCTACCCACCTCCCTTCCTCTCTCTCTAAAATCAATAAAAACATAATCTTGGGTGAAGATTGAAAAAAAAAAACCCCAACCAAATCCCAACAGACAAAAGTCCTAGACTGGATGGCTTCACAGGTGAATTTTATCAAACATTCAAAGAAGAACTAACACCTGTCCTCAAATTATTCTTAAAAATTCAAGAGAAGGGAAGACCCCCAAGCTCATTTTACAAGGCCAGCATTATCCTAATTCCATAACCAGATAAAGACACTACAAAGAAAGAAAATTACAGGCTAATATTCCTCATGGACATAGATGCAAAAATTCTCAACAAAATATGACCAAACTGAATTCAGCAATACATTACACAGATCATACACCATGATCCAATGAGATTTATTCCTTCGATGGAGGGTTAATGCGGCATCCACACATCAATTAATGTGATATACCACATGAACAGAATGAAGGGTGAAACCCACAGCTAACGTCACAGCTACTGGTGACAGACTAAATGCTTCCCAACCAACAAAGATCGGGAACAAGCCAGGGATGTCCCCTTTATCACTCCTGTTCAGTGTTGTCCTGGGTGTTCTATCCAGGGCAATTAGGCAAGAAAAAGAGATTATCCAGATTAGAAAGGTAGAAATAAAACTATCTCTATTTGCAAATGAGAAGATCTTATATATTAAAAAAATCCTAAAGAACCCTCTAGTAACTATTAAAAGTAAAAAATGAGTTCAAGAAGGTGTAGGATCCAAGATCAATATACAGAAATCAAATGTATTTTATACACCTGTAATGAACCCTGAAAATAAAATCTAAAGAAAATTTTAAAAAATACTTTGAAATAAATTTAACAAAAGAAGTACAAATTTTATGCTTTGAAAACTAAAAACACTGTTGAAAGAAATTAAATACTTAAATAAATGGAAAGATACCCCATGTTTGTGGGTCATATGGCACAGTTTGGGAGACCAGCTCCCAAACTGATCTATAAATTCCCTATCAAAATATCACCTGACTTTTTTGCAGGAAGGTGACCTTAAAATTCAAATGAAAAAGGCAAAGGACTCATAGGAGCAAAACAATCTTGAAAAAGAAGAACAAAGTTGGAAGACTCATACTTCCCAACTTTGTAACTTACTACAAAGTAGTAATCTAGACAGATTTTACTGGTATAAGGGTAAACATAAAGATTAATGGAGAGGAACCAAGAGTTCAAAATAAACCCCTATGTGAATGGCCCACTGATTGTCGACAAGAGTGTCACGTCAATTCAATGAGGCAAATAATAGCTTTTTGAACAAATGGTGCTGGGACACTGAATATTATCTTGTAAAAGAATGAGGTTAGACCCTTAATAACACCATATACAAAAAAAATCTCAAAATAGATCAGAAATCGAAACATAAGAGTAAAAACTATAAAACTCTTAGAAAAACACCAGGAGTAGATCTTTGTGACCTTGGATTAGGTAATGGTAAAAGCAACAAAATAAGTAGATGAATTAGACTCTATCAAAATTAAAAAGTTTTGTGATGTCAGTATCATCATTATGATATAAAAATTCTTATCATCACTAATGTCAATATTCTATTTTCTGTGTACACCACATTCTGTTTATTCAACTGTAGACAGACGTGTGGGCTACTTCCGCCTCTTGGCCGTTGTGGATCTGTGCTGCACTGAACATGGCCGTGAAATATCTCAAGACCCTGCTTTCAGTTCTTTCTGCTACAGGCCCAGAAGTGAGATGTCTGGGTCACGGGAACATCTCTTTAGAGTGAAAAAAGGGCTCTAAAATTTGATAGTGGTAACAGTTGCAACAACCCTAGAATATATTAAAACCACTGAATCGCACATTTCAAAAGGGTGAATCATATGGTATATGAATTACACCTCAATAAGGCTGTTAAAAAAGACAACTTTAAAGGCTGAATCAGAGATAGTTCCTTAAGGATTTTGACCAAACTGGGCAATGAATCTGGTTAAATAACCAATCAATCGTGTCATTCAGGTAATTCTGACTCTTATTTGCAGTGGCCCGGCTGGATGTTGAGGTGTTTTTCCAAACAGAACCTCAGTGCTTCTTCGACACTGATCACTAGGGAAAGCACAGGAAAGAAACTGCCAGTGTACTTTTAATTCACAACACTAATCCTTTTCATATTTTGTGTCAGAAAGCGCTCTGAAGAAATAACAAACAGACACTAACTATAGCAATTTTTATTTCATCTGTCCTATAGGTATGCCATTCACCAGATTTTTAACAGGCAGGGAAGTAAGGCAGGATTTTACTCATATCAACCTCATATTCACTTTTTGAAATGTCCCAATTATTTCACGAAGAAGGTACTCAAAAGACAGAGGGTTTGTTTTTCTTTGGCAATAAAAAATATAAAATTAAAAAGTCTTATGTCTAATGTCCCTGAATGAGGAAATAAGCATGTGTTAAAAAAAAGGAGAGATGTTGAGGAGAGAGTGCGCATCCAACTCAGAGCCTGCTCATCTCCGACTGTCGGACACAACTAGAGGTGTGCACGGCAACCCAGCGGCCACTGGTGCTCGAAACTTGTCCCATCGTCTTCGTCTCCGCTGCACCCAGATGTTTTCCATTGTGTCAGGCTCAAAGGGGCAGTTTCAGGAAGACAATAAATGAGATCATCTCAAAGATTTCTCATGATCTCTTCTGACCAGAGCAGAGCAAAGTAAGGGAAACCTTACTGGTTGACTGATAGCTTTTAAAACAATAGACTCCGTATGTGTCACAGCAAAGAGACGAGTTTGGAGGTCAACTCTCCATCAGGGTCCCAAGGTGGAGACTGAGATGATGGTTCGATCTAATTATATGGACAGGTTTGTTTCGTGGGACAGTCTTTCCAGATTACACATCTTATATACTTGCACAGCTTTTCCTGGATAATCTCTCAGACTTGATTTTAAGTGAAGGCTGAAATACTAGCAGTTGATCTCAGATTCTTATTATATATTTTTCAAAGTCCGTCTGTGTGCAGAAGCAAAATTATGGATGGCGACCCGAAGAGCTGAGTTCCCCTCAGGGATGTCGCAGGAGCTGAGGACTGAGTGTAGTGCCCGGGTGTATGCTGCAAATAAAGGTTTGCACAGTGATGAATGAAGTCACATTCTCTCTCCCACCCCTTTCCAGTTAGTACTGCTTCTCTACCTAGGGCCATAGGTATTGATTTAACTACCCACTGAGTAAATATTTACTGAGCACTTACTACATGCCCAGCACTCCATGAGGACAGGAAAAATAATGGAGAGGATGGACAAAAATAACTGCGGTGCAGCCTTCCAAACCAGAAACACGTGCAGAATGCTATCCCATAATGGAGTTCAGAATAAACACAGACTATCCAAGAGAGGATGGAAAAGGTCTCCGGAAGTGAGTATTTCAGATGGTCTCAAAGGTTTAAATAAGAGTAACAGCATTCTAGGCAGAGAAATCAATATGTGAGGTGCCACACTCATAGAAAAAAGTGGCACATACTGGTGTGTGACAACAGTAAGTTCGATAAGGTTGGAGTCTTGCCTGGGGCCAAGAGAAAGCATGCCAAACGTACCGTGTATTTCGTGCTGTGTATTTTGTAAAAACCTAGAGGTTGGAGACTAGGGGAATGGCAGCATCAGATCTGTGATTTTAAAATATTAATCACGGAGATGGGGTAGCAGGAATACAAATTCTTGCAGTACTCTTAGCATGTGCATCAATCCTACATAGTCTCTGCACTACGTAAACCAATGTATTTAAGGATGAACGGGAAACAGAAACATTCAAGACAACGGGAAGGACCCCATTCTCTCTAGCTGGGATTCCTGATATAGAGAGGGTTTACACTGGTCCTCATTTTCCTCGGGGTCCCCTGGGAGAACGGGCAGTCTAATGCGGATATACATGGTGGTAAGCCTGTGTGAGATAACATTAAGGTATTTGGGTAACAGGGAATTCAACTACATAGAAGCCTAACTTAATGGCCCAAAAAGGCAAGCTCTAATATTCTTCACTTACAGGAGGACCTGGAACCCAAGTCTTCCTACAGTGGAATAAGCTGGAAATACTTCCCCAGCACAAAGGGAGACAAGATAGTAACAGACCTCAAAGAGAAATACAACTCACTATAACCTATTTTCATTGCCTCAGAGTTGTTTTGTAAAAGGGTTTTAACAGTCTCTGATATATACTATGCACTCAATACATGCTGAATTGCTACAATGACTACTTTTTAAAAAATTGTCACCGGGCCCCCACCATTCCTGTAAGAAACTTACCTCTGTGGTTTTTATAGAAACTACAGTTGTTGGCACAGGTATCAGGATGAGCATCCCAAAAGCCAGGACCACAGCAGCACAGTGGAGGTAAAGTGACGTTATACAGCCGCATTTTCTCTTGGATCTGGGCCCTTAGAGCTTCTACGTATCTGCAGAAATACAGCATGGTGAGTGAACCACCAGAAAGAGAACGAGCACGAGTCCTGATTTTACCACCATCTGAGACTGTTAGAACTATTCTACACCTCTGTGCCCGGCTCTTCCTCTTCGTACTGGGAAATGGCACTGGAAGCACGTAGTGCTATTCCCAAGAAGTATCTGGGGAAGGCCTGTGTCCCCGAAAGTATGAGAAGGCACTGTCAACTCTTGTAAGGAAAAGAGGAGCACTGACTTCCTGAAGTCTCTTCTGCACCTGCAACCCCATACAAACCCCGTCAGACTACCTTCGGGACTCCTTCTCTCGCTGCTGCTGCTTCTGTCTGGCGTCTTCCACTTCCGCGAGCTCCAGCTGGGCTAACATCTCACTCATCTTCTCCTCCGAACTCGGCTCTTCAGGCAAGTTCATTCTCAGTATCCTCTGCTCTTCTGCATAACGCTGCTGCTCTTTCTTTTTCTTAATTCTAAGGACAAAAATCATAATATAGTTAGGAATTTTATAAAAATCATTATTTAGAATTAGCTGCTAGGTCCAAATAATTCAAGAAATTCCCAGAAATAAGGAAGTCAGAAAATCAGTTTAACACCCCTAAAACAGCTTCAAAAAACTGCTGGCTGGTTCGAGTTTATCCTAGAGCTTGTGTGTGTGAGTGAGTGTGTGAGTGTGTGTGTGTGTGTACCCACACATACATGCACTGCCTCCCAAATGGAAATGACCAATGGCTACCATCAAGAGTTTTTCTGTAAGAATCCAAGTACAAGAGCTTTCTCAGATTAAAACTACAAGTAGACAGGACTTTAGTTTTTAGCAAAAAAATGGAGTAACAGACACTAGATTTGCCCTCCTGCCCTAAATAATCAAATAAACAAGTCAACCAACCAACTAATCAACCAGACAAAACACAAAAAACAATCGTTTCCAAAACTCTAGACACCAGGCACGGAAAGACAGTGGTCCTGGACACTGGCAAACAAATGGGGTGAGCCATGTAACCGCCCGAGCTCCCTGACTTGAAAGTTTCCAGGCAGCTGCACCGGGAAGGGCAGCTGAGGTGGAGCCTAACAGAGACGAAGCTGAAGGTCAGGGTTACAAAGGCAACTAGAGTTGGTGAGACAGAATGCCAGAGAGGAGAGGGCTGCTCCGAGAGAGGACTCCAGCGACCTCCAGAGGGGCTTCTTCTAACACAGCAGAGCATTGCGCATGAACGTGAGGAAAGGCGGGGCATGAGCCATATCTAAAGACTAACAGGACAGCTATGGGGACATGAAGTACGGTACGGGAAGTGGGGCAGCCAGAGCACTTACACGCGTGACCAGTGGACATGAACAAAGGTGGGGGGGTTGCCTAAGGGAGTGGGGGAGTGCTGGGGGTAACGAGGGACAAATTGGGACAACTGTAACAGCATAATCAATAAAATATAATTTAAAAGAAAAAAATAAAAGGGTAGCAGAGCACAGTGCCTTGTGCTCACACAGAGCAGGGAACAGTGCCTGTTCCACCAGTCGGACTCGGAAAACCCATAACGCACAGGGCATGGGCTCCTTTCAGGAGCAGCTACCTTAGCAGTGTGGAATGATAATCAGCCCTAGACTGAGTGCTGTTCCAGACACACCTTACAAACTGTAAAAGCAAAGCCCCAGAGTAACTTAACTGCATCTGAAAACAAAGCTCAGGAGAATCTATAAGAACGCAAAGATATCCAGCAACCAACATGGTAAAATTCATGATGCTGGACATCTAATCAAAGATTATCAGGCATGCAAAGAGGAAGGAAATCATGACTCATAATGAAGAGAATAATCAATCAAAACCAATATAGAACTGACAATTACTACAATTAATGCACAAGAACATTAAAAGTTATTACAACTATATTCTATATGTTCAAAGATTAAGATATAAAAAAACTGAAATCAAACTTCTCAAGAAAATAACAACTTCTGAGATGAAAAATGCACTAAAGAATAGGTCTGTATTTATTGAAGAAATGGAATCAATAATTAACCTCCCCAAACAGGAAGCACCAGGCCAAGATGGGTTTGCTGGTAAATTCTACCAAACAATTAAGGAAAAAATTACACCACTTCTCTACAATGCCTTTCAGAGAAGGGAATACTTCTTAATTCATTCTAATACCAAAAACAGACAAAGATATTACAAGAAAATAAAACTATAGATCAACATTTCTTATGAACACAGAGGCAAGAATCCTCAAAAATATTAGCAAATCAAACCCAACGATACATACAAAGATTTGTCTACCATGACCAAGTGGGATTCATCCCAGGAATGCCAGGCTTGTTCAACATGAAAAACATCGATCTATCACTTCAACAACCTACTTAAAAAAAGAAATCCCATGATTCTACGGATGCAGGAAAAGCATCTGACAAAATCCAACACCATTTACGATAAAAACTCAGTAAACTAGGAATAGAGGGGAACTTTCCAAACTTGATAAAGAACACTTACCAAAAAATCCTACAGCTAACATCATACTCAAAGGTGAGAAATAAGACACTTTCCCACCACTAAGATCAGGAACAAGGCAAGGACGACCCTTCTCACCACTCCACTTCAACATGGTACTGGAAGTCCTAGCTAATGCAATTAGACAAGAAAAGGAAAAAATAAAACTGTCTTTGTTCACAGATGACATAATCATCTATGTTCTTCCCAACCTGATCTACAGATTCAATGTAATTCCAATAAAAATCCCAGCCAGTTACTTTGTAAACACTGAAAAACTGATTTTAAAGTTTATATGGAGAGGCAAAAGTCCCAGAGTACCAACATAATATCAAAGGAGAGGGACAAAGTTGGAGGACAAATACTAATCAACTTCAAGACTTACTGTAAAGTTACAGTACTCCAGAGAGTGTTGTGTTGGTGGTGAAAACACAGACAGATAGAAAAGTGGGACAGAACAAAGAGGCCAGAAATAGATCCTCATGAATATAATCCATTGATCTTTGACAAAGACACAAAGGCGATATAATGGAGCAATGATAGTCTTCTTCACACATGGTACGGGGACAACTGAATATCCATGTGCAAAAAAATGAATCTAGACACAGACCTCACAGCCCTCACAATAAGCAACTCAAGATGGGTCATAGAGATCAATGGAAAACATGGAAGTTATCTCCTGGAAGATAACTTAGGAGAAAACCTAGATGATCTTGGCTGTGGTGATGACTTTTTAGATACAACACCAAAGGCATGACCTATAAAAGAAAGATGATGAGCTGGACTCCATTAAAATTGGGAACTTCAGTTCTGCAAAAAATGCTTCAAAAGAATGAGAAAATAAGCCATAGACTGAGAGAAAATATTTGCAAGAAACACATCTGAAAAGGACTATGATCCCAAATACAAAAAGAGAAGATCCCTAAAATGAAACAATTCAAAAACAAACAACCTAATTCAAAAATGGGCCAAAGACCTGAACAGACATCTCAGCAAAGAAAATACACAGATAGCAAATAAGTAACCATTGCACACCTATTAGAATGGCCAAAATCTGGAACACCGACAACACCAAATGCTACGAGGATGTGGAGCAACAGGAACTCTCATTCATTGCTGCTGGAAATGCAAAAACGGAGCAACCACTTTATTAAACATACTTTTATCTACCATATGATCCAGCAATGATGCTACTTGGTTTACCCAAAGGGTTGAAAACACATTCACACAAAACCTGCACAAAGGTATTTACAGCAGCTTCATTTATAATTGCCAAATCATGAAATCAACCAAGATTTCCCTTAGCAAGTGAATGGATAAATAAACTATGATATATCCAGACAACACAATATTATTCAGTGCTATAAAATAATGAGCTACCAATGAAAAAACATAGAGAAACTTAAATGCATATTACTGCAGTGAAAAAGTCAATCTGAAAGGCTACATACTGTATGATTATAAGTATATGACATTTTGGAAATGGCAAAAGAATGAAGACAGTGAAAAAAATCAGTAGTTGCCAGAAGCTGGGAGAGAGGGAGGCGAAGAGGGATGAGCAGGCAGAGCATAGAGGACTTTCAGGGCAGTGAAACTATGCTGCATGACACTGGAATGATGGGTACATGTCATTACTCATTTACCCAAACCCATACATGCACAGCACCAAGAGTAAGCCCTGAAGTAAACTGCAAACTGTGGGCAACAATGTGTCAATGTAGGTTCCTTATTGTACCAAATGTACCACACTGGTGGAAGTGCTGATAAAAAACCACAAACCACAACCTCAATGAGATATCACCTCACACCCATCTGGGTGGCTACGGAAAAAAAAAAATCAGAAAATAACAAGTATTGGTGAGGATGTGAGAAACTGGAATCCTTGTGCATTGTTGGTGGAATTGTAAAACGGTGCAACCGCTATGGGAAATAATATGGAAGTTCCTAAAAAAGATTGAAAATAGAACCACCATATGACCCAGCAGTCCCACTTCTGGGCCTGTATCCGAAAGAACTGAAAGCAGGGTCTTGAAGAGATATGGCACGGCCATGTTCAGCGCAGCACAAATTCACAACAGCCAAGAGGCAGAAGCAGCCCACACGTCCGTCTGCAGTTGAATAAACAGAATGTGGTGTGTACACACACAATGGAACCCTAACATTATTCAGCCTTAAAAAGAGAAGAAATCCTGTCACATGTGACAATATCAATAAGCCTTAAGGACAGCCTACCCAGTGAAGCAGCCAATGACAAAAAGACAAATACTTATAAGTGCATTTATTAATATGAAGTAGTCTAAAGTAGTCAAATTCATAAAAAGACATTAAAAGGGTAATCAGAGAAGAATAAGAACAATTTTATGACAATAAATTTGACAATGACATAACTTGGATGAAATGATATATCTTGAAGGACACAAACTATTAAAGCTTACTCAAGAAAAAGAGAACCAAAATAGCCCTCTATCTATTATCAACATTGAAACTGTTAAGAATCTTTCCATGATGGAAATACCAGAACTAGACAGATTCACTGGCAAATTCTACCAAATACTTAAGGAATAAATAATACCAATTCTACATAAACTGTTTCCAAAAAACTGCAGAGAGCACTTCCCATCTCATTCTGCGAGGCCAGCATTACCCTGAAGCCACAACCAGTCAAAGACACTACACGAGAATTACAGGCCAGTATCTCTTAGACACAGGTGTGAATTCTAAACCAGGGGTGTCAAACTCTTTTTCACCAGGGGCCACATCAGCCTCAAGGTTGCCTTCAGAGGGCCAAATATAACTTTAGGACTGTATAAACGTAACTACTCCTTAACCAGAGGCAAGGAGCTCAGTGCTGCCACCAGGTAGAAACAAGGTGCCGGGCCGGATAAAACAAGGTGGAGGGCCGGATTCAGCCCACAGGCCTTGTGTTTGCCACCTGTGTTCCAAACAAAATTTTTAGCAAATCTAATCTAAAAGAATAATAAATTTTTACCCAGA